CCCGAATCGAAGAGGGTTAGCGCCGCCCGTGGTGGTGTTTTGTAAAGTCAAACTGGAAGCAATCTTCTCGCATACTGAGATGAAAGTATAAGCAGACAACTTCACATTGTAGCTCCCGGCCATAGAGGTGAAAGATATACAATTGTGTATACTAACCATTGGGCCGACATCAAATGTGGCTTCTGAAAATATGGAATATCTTCCGGTTGATATAAAAACACTAAACACTAAAATAATTTTTTAAATTATTCATGATGTTTAACAATTATTCGCCGAAGGCGAGGTGATTATCGGTGAATAAAAACCGAGACGAAGTCGAGGTTTTTATTCACGATAATCACCGAGCCTGAGGTGAATAAATGTTTTAGTATAATTTCATAGGTGATTATTTGCAAAAAAATAAGAAAATACGCAATTTCTTCGTCATTTAATTGACAAAAAGGCTTCGGCCGCCATTTTGAAAATCGCTTAGGTGATTATCGCGTAATAATCACCTCAACGGCAACCAATCAGCGTGGAGAATTTTCAATAATCACCTATGTAATTATACTAATCCTTGTTATTGCTTTATCAATTTCTTTTACTATTTTCAGTCATCCACTACCATATAAGCAACCTTCAACCAGACCCGACTGCCAAGAACGGAAAAAGATTCGTCATTGTGGGAAGTTGGTCAAATGGTCAACTGCATATAACCAGGCGTATCTATTGGAACGGCGGACGGAACACCACCCCCGTATCAAGATGCTCATCTCCTTGCCCCCCGGGACATTCATACGTGAAAGGCGACGTGTCGTGTTGCTGGAGATGCGTACTTTGCCCTCGTGGACAATTTAAAATCGGAACAGGGAACCAAGAATGCGATTCCTGCCCTGAAGGGTTTATCCCAGATTCAAACCGAACACGATGCATGCGCATACCGGAAGAGTTCATTCGCTGGGATTCGGTAACGTCGGTCATTTTGGTGTCGCTGTCTCTATGTGGGGTCCTGGTGACTAGCTTTATGTTCAGAGTCTACTTCAAATACCGTAAGACCCCGATAGTCAAAGCTGCCTCGAGATATCCGTCTTTAGCTTTACTGGTGTCCATTGCAATAATATTCGCATTACCTTTGCTATACATCGGCCGACCGAATATGGCGATGTGTCATATTCAACCAATCGCTAATGACTCTAGCAAGTTCGTTGGTCCTGACCAAAACATTCAGACTGATTCAAATTTTTAACAACGTGGCAAATCTAAAGGACAAACCGTCGGTTACGGTTAAGATGGTGATTGTGATGTTAGCTTTAGAGGTTATACTAATAGCCTTGTTCCTGGATCGATGGCCGATACAAGTTAATACGGTTGTCGAAGATGTCTCTGTGCCTATAGACTGTGCCGCATCAGCGAAAGATCTGCACATCGCTGTGCTGTTGTACAATTGGTTCTTGGCATTAATCTGTGCTGTAATGGCATTCCGTGCTCGATCGCTTCCTGCAAACTTCAAGGAAGCACGGTTGATCAGCTTTGCTATGTTCGCCTTTTCAGTTATATGGCTTTCGTTCTTAATCGTATTCTCTGGGAGTATAATAAGTCACTTCTCAACATATATATGCGTTGCGATCCTGGCGACAGCTCTAGATCTCGTGGTGTGCATGTTTGCACCAAAAATATTCGTCATCTTGTTCAGGCCAGAGCTTAACGAGGTTCGCCTGGTCCGCGCAGATATTTATCGTTACGCCGTGAAACAAACTAACGCGCTCATTCGCATACACCAAATGCGGAATCAGCGGACTGAACTCATGCGCACTCAACTCGAGGGATTGTTACCACGAAGCCAACCCGTGCATATCTTCCAAGAATCGAAGTTATAGTAATGTTTGATTGATGTAAGGGGAATTTATTTGGTATTCGGTAATTACTTAATTGTTGGAAATAGTTTATTAGAATATTGCGAATATTGATAGAGAATATTGACAATCTCAGCATTAAGGTTTCAAGGGCAATAGGAGTCATTCGCCGAGATAAAAATATGTTTTAACAAGATGCCTTTAATAAAAGTAATGTATAATTCTTTAGTCCTCCTGTGTTTTGATTATTGATCCCTTGTTTGGAATAATTGTAGCCAAACACTAAAAACTATAAAGTTCAGCGACTTCAAAATAGAGCAGCAAGAGTAATAACGGGAGATATGTACGAACAGTACAGAAAGACCTCTGCACAGATTTAATAAAGAGTCGCTCGCCTAGCAGTCGAAGCAAAACGAGAAAGACGAGAAGGCAAAGGACGAATGAGACCAGCCACCAGCTCGATTCCTTTGCGAACCCACAGCATTCGTCGTCGGATTTCGTTCGTGCAAAGTTTGGAAGAGATTGCCACTCATCCAGAGTCTGTTGTAACGATACCAAAGAAGCGATATCAAGCGTCGAAGAGATACCAAGCGTCGTTAAAGATGTTGTACATTTCGGGATTCTCGTCGTGCGTGTTCGAAAGTACGTGGGACGCCAGCCCGAAGACGCTCAAATGCACAAAACAAATTTGAATGTGGCACATTTTCCTTGATTTCGTGGCACATTTTCCTTATGTTCTCTGCAAATTAGGCTGGAATTATTTCTTATGTTAATAAAGGTCTCCAGAAAAAATGCCCGGAAGGAGTAACTGAAATGTTTCAGTTTTCCTACCGTATTAGACGTGTTATTATATATTGTCCTGTACCATATTGTCTATTGGTAGGCCCTATTGTAATTTTAACGTAATCACACGACCTTTGAAAAGCAGCATTTAATTTCGTATTTCTTAATTTATTGTTGCATGCATGTATATATATATATATATATATATATATATATATATATATTCAATATTCAATATTCAATATTCAATATTCAATATTCAATATTCAATATTCAATATTCATATATATATATTCAATATATATATATATATATATATATATTCAATAAATATATATATATATATATTCAATATATATATATATATATATATTCAATA